AAATAGAGATTCACAACCGCTAGGCTATTTATCAACTCGTATGATTGTAGGGATGAATACGTGTGTGTGTGTGGTGGGTGAGTGTGTGTGTCGTTACCACTCTTGTCAAGTTAGACTATAGTATTGCGTGGCCATTATCTAGGGACGAATATTCGCCAGGTAAGACGAGTTATGGAACCAATTTCGTTACTGAAATACCTAAACTGTTGTTGCTTATTAGAATTTAGAAATTGGCGAAATTTATAATATGTTTGGTAGTTTCTCAATTGTATTACATGGCTGGGGTTCTGGAAAATGTATGTCGTTTACTGTTAGTGGTTACTTCTCCGAAAGATACATAAGTGTTCAAGCAACTTTATATGCTCAATGTTGAATCTTTACGTGCTTCTGTGTCTTAAGTGTGGTGAAAGCAACGTTATCAAAATAACAATTGCATGTCAATGGAATCAGTCAATAACTGGTCACATGTGTATTATTTACTTCACACATACGTTACAATGTTTTTATTAAATGTCGCCCAAGTGTACACGCGATTTTACAACTGCGGTAGAACCTACGTACGTCTATATAGTTTCTGCCAATGTTTGCAATTTTAGGGTTATTTTCACCAATTGAAACGTGATCAAAATTTGTAGACAGCAAGCTGTGTTGCAAAACAGCTTATCATAGTTGAATATTTGTTCATGCATAATTAGAGAAGATTGTAAAAATATTCCGTTATATACAATAGCTGATAAATCTTATATATTGATTTGGGCCACAGTGATTTAATTTTATGGATGACATCCTCTGGAGACCCCAAATCTAATGCGAGAGGGCGAAAAAAAAAACTGCCAAAAAAAAATGCTGCTAAAACCACAGGACTATGGAGCTGATATAAAAATTACGAATTGAACTACAGAACACAGTGTATCATAAAAACAACAAGAAATAAATAAATATAAAATAAAGAAAAACTTACTGTGTTGTATTGAAAAAAAATGAATTAAAAATGAACAATAAGTTTGTCAACAACAACCTGGAAATTAACTTCTTTGACATTCAGACTACAGCTTTTAAAGTGACACTTCAGATAGACTAAGTGTAGACACAAATGCTCTAGTACTATTTCAACTATGTAACAAATTATAAGAGGCTCGATATTGAAAAAAAAAACACCAACAAAAATTTTGATACAGAAAATTATGTACATGTATCTTAATGAAAATTTGTCATATGATCAAAATATTACTGACTGTGTGTGCAAGCAAATTATTCAAATCAGAGGAGCTTCCTCTGCTTTCGTTGCAGTTTTGTCGGCTCAATGCGAACAAAGCAACCGAACTGACTTGTCGCCTGACTGACTTTTAGGCCACCATACACCTCCACTCCTCTCCCATCTCTCTCATCATTGCAGAAGAAACGTGGGACAGCCACTCTGGACAATGTGTCCTTAAATTTGTCTGGGCGAAACTCGCTTGCCGCTACCAATCTCTCGTATAGCTGTGTAAACGTCACATCTCTCTGGCCTACGTCAATTGCGTACCAGTCTACAACAATCACTCCGTTTTTCCTCTGAACTTTTATGCTCACGTATTTTGGTGGCGTGGTCGCCATGTTAGAATTCCCGGCAACGCAATACGAATGTGCAGAAGACCATTTACGACAAAATTGGTACGTTTTGAGGTAGTCCAAAACAAGTTTTACGACAAGCAGGCGCTTTGCGACAATATGAGTCGGCAAGTTCTGGACAGAAAACCAATCTGTGGAGACTCGTCTTCGGATTTTTTTTTTTTTTTAGAACAGGCGAAAACTAATGCGTGCGCGGATGTCATCCATTAAATTAAGTCGGTGTGGCCTAATTTTAACACACGTCCGATCAATCAAATTGCCGATATGATGTGAGATATCCAATATAATGGAATCGTCGTCGAAGCATGATTGAAGGGATGGTCCGTGGGATGAATTAGAATGTCTAAATTTGTTGGTTTTGTGGGAATATTGGTGAACTTGTCATTTTTTTTTATAACATTTAACAGACCAACGTAGTGTAATGCTAACAATAGATGTACTTTGGTCAGGTAAGTTAGTAATTAACTCCACATCCTTTTAACACGTCCCAAATACATACTATACGTACCTAGTGACCGAAGCATGAACGGTTCTACAATAGGTCAACTCACACGCACCAATTTTAACTATTCACAGCTTGTAAAATATTGGACAAGTACTTTCCAAGTACGATGGAAATATAACACAAACATGCAATACTGTCAAAATTAGATTTTGTTTATATTCTGTGTGAATCAAATGAATATAAATAAAAACATTTGAAACAATCATATTGTATAGTACTTGTCAAGCACACCCATGTTCATGAAACAACAATGTACGTAACTTTGTGAAATGAGGAGACCAGAATCAGCCTAGTTGTTAATTAATTCTTTTTACTATTGTTTGGCACAGTTCTGATCATTACGAACTCAACTACGACCTTTGTTACATAAATTTAAATATATATAATTATTCTTACCTGATATTGTATCGGAGTTACTGGTCAGTTGATATCTGTACCTGCGAGGCAATATTCAGGACGTAGAAATCAACAACTACTGACACACTATGAATTCATCAGTCGTATATCTGCCATGACCAAGAGCACGTCCTTTGTCGTCGTACCTACCCCACTTAATGTGTACGAAATATATAACGAGTGAGGGCGCAATTAGAATTGGGCAACTGGCATTTTATTTCTACTGGGTATCGAACTGCTGTTGCTTGCCAACATGTCTATGAAGTTTTATCTTGTGTGTGTGACATTTGATCAAATCTGTATAGTCATCTTTCCTGATCTCGCCTAGAACCCGTAGCCTTGAGTTTCCCATAAACTATGTATGCAGAAATGTATGGAGTGTAATACTGGCAATATCCAGTCGGTTGTACAACATGGAATGTGCTTGATTTAAGGGTTGAATTGAGCTTTGTTCTAGCGGTTTTTGAGAGTGCAAGTAAATTGTGAACATATTGCCCAATACACTCGAATGAAACATTTACAAACCAAAGTCGTTGGTTGCCATGGCACCGTGATCACACTTCATCAATGCAACGCGTACAATGGTCGTGTAGTGTAGTGTAGTGTAGTAATTAACACCACACCTGTGGCCCCTAACCTCAATAGCCAAACCTTACTTGATGTTACGTACACCCATCAACTACTAATGAATGATGGATTGACCGATAGACATTATCACAGCCATTCAATAAAACTCATTGTGTTTTTTTCGGTTTTCGGTAAAAGCAAAGTACGAAGAAGCATGCATTCATACCAATTAGATTGATTTTTAATTTAAATTATTTAAATAATTTTCGAAACATGTATGTAAATTGCGTGTAAATATATACGTCGTGTTTTTAAACATGCAGCAAGTTGAATATGTTAATTTGTTCTACCGCCACGCGGCTCATCCCTCAGTTTGGTCATTCCACAATGTGTAATTACGTAATTATAGTTATTCTTAACTTGCATTTTGCCGGAATAATAATTCTTGGACATACTGACAAAGGTCTTGCAAGAATTGGCAGTACTTACTGTTGGGCTTGCATCTACAACTTTGGTTTGGATGTAAGCTATGCGATCTGTGTATAATTTAGACCATGTGAGGGCGCTGGAAACATACTCGTGTAACAACCCTGTGCACAAAATGAACACTCATTGGAAGAAGCTTGTACTCATTATTACTCATGAGCAAGTAAGTAAGATTCGTGATATTGCGCATCGGTTTAAATAAGTGATATTACTTATTAAATATATGATAATGTGATGATATCGTGACTATAATTTCACTAACCACTTTGTTTACAAATAATTCCCCCCCCCCAAAAAAAGAAGATAGAAGTGCATTTGAACTTACTCATCATCTTCCACGTTACCAAAGTGAAGAGCAATAATTCATCATCTATTACAATATAGCCATAATGTTTCTTTGTTATATTATATATACACCGATATATTGCTTCGTAATTAGTAGTCAGAGAAGGCGTTCTCATATATCGTTTAAAAATGTAGTTGTAATATTGTATACAAGCAAACTTAAAAAAAGAGAAGAATTTCAAGTAAGTATGATGTTTTACGTTGAAAATTACCCAGGTTTGTGATTTGCGACCTTTTAGCCGTGAAATGAGGGGTCATGATTGTTTTGTTAAAAATAGTAAGATTAGCTCGACTTGTAGATCTTGAACAGTAAGTCCTTGTCCGGTCGTATGCTTTATTAGCATGCGACTTGTTTTACAGAAATTAACGTGAAATTTGTGTTTAGCTTTGAAGTCGACGAGGATCGCTGGTAGAAGATCACAACAAATCTGAACATTAACTTGAATGTCATCACTACCGAGCACAAACGTCGCCTAAGAAAGTAATTATTTATTATGTCAAGGCTGCATTTTTTGAAGGTTATTTCGAGACGATGCCTGCTCGCATCTATAGCACAGCGTTTCTGTAGTCTGGAAATTGGTGTTTGTTTACGACGTCTTAATTGTAAATGTGAAAAATGCCTCAGGGTAAACGCCTATTCAAATGTAAAAGTAATTTTACGTATTTGTACATGACATTTCAGAACGAGCTAAAAACTGGAGTGCAGAATAATGAAAATGGCATGTTCTGAACATCACACGTAATACTGTCACAGCCATTTATTCTTAGATATGCGAACATGTATTCTACTGATTTGTACGCGATTTTTAACTGGGTTTCTTAGCAATGCAGCTTTTATGTATCGCCCTCTTGAAGTTTATGAGAAGAAGGTTTTAGGTATTTGAAAGCTTGAACGCTGATGCAGTGCACGTGGTTACTCATAATCCTATATGGTCTGTATAACATATTGGTTGAAAAAAGTTTGGTAAATTTCACATTTACATTTCACATTCACATCAAATGTCAACGGTAAATCAAATTTAGTTTATAACCATATTATATTATTCTTAGATAACTAAAAAATTCCTCAGCAGCTGGTTGTTACTTTGAATGAATGAAATAAAAAAAATGCATATGAGTTGGCAGGTGATGTGATCGAATATTTTGGAGAGTATATTTCCCGAGATTGACGTCATTTTAGCATCCATATATTAACAT